TTGTTTTATTTTAAATTATTCGCGAGCGTGCGCGAGCGAACCGAGCCTTATTTAATATTGTTGAGATCACGAGGAAACCCGACCCTGAAATCGAACCCAGGCCCCGCGACCCGCCTCCTCTAATGCTTGGAGAGTAAGATTATTTACCCTACATTTTTCGATGCCTTTACGCAGACATCAAGCTCTCTCCATCACTCTCCATCGATCCTTCTCTACTCTCGTTCTCTCCTCTCTCGCGTATATCTCTTGAGATCGAGAGCCATTTTTCACCCACCCAACCACATGAACCTCTCTGTCTCTCCCCTGTGTGTATATTCTGAATAATCCCTCCAAACCCACACAAGTCACCAACAAATCAGGGACAAGTCCATCGCCCCGTCGACTCCGTCCCTTCACCGCCAGCCGACTACCAACCGTGTAAGTTCCGTTCGAGCCGCCGTACAGCAACTTCCCAACCCCGCGCGCCATTGCGAACTAGCAACAGATCCTCGCGGACGGCGTGCCAATGGAATCCACTTGTGTAATAGTCGATCGTTGCCTGAAATTATGTCGCCACTTTTGTCCAGCGAGCCCACCTCCTAGCAGCATGGCCGTCGACGACCTCCTTTACGTCGAGTGATATGCCTTCAGCCTGAGACCACATCATCGATGAGAGCTCGCAGTCGTGCTGTTCGAGTCCTTAACAGAGCAGCAACGCCTTCCGTCCTCTCAGCCCTCCGTCGGCAAACTAACAGTCCACAACGTTAGTTCCACGCCAGGAATCGGGCTGTGCCGGGAGTCTTTTCGAATTAGGTCCAGTCGGGAGCCCGAGTTCAGCCGGAGAAGAAGACCTCCACGCTGTCCATTCGGTTCACAACCCAAATTGTGAAATTGGAGCCTGCTGGAAGTGATGCTCGTAGTAGTAGTTTCTTTTTACGTTGAGCAGGGTATAACCAAGATCCCACGACCAGCCGAAGCCATGAGCCATAGTCGAATGTCAAGAGCAGCATCGAGTAGCCGTGAGTAGTTTCTGAACGTGTGATAGCCTTAGCCGTGCGGGGTAACATCAAGCTGTGGCTTTCCTTTCCCGTTTTCCTTTCAATTTTCCGTTCGACCCCAAAGGAGGTATATAGTTTAATTCTCCTTTGTTGTTTAGAACTTCAGTTTGAAGGATATAATTAATTGCTTAAAGGTTCATTGACTTGAGATTTTTTTTAAGTTGTGGATGATGTCAGATTTCATGAGTTTGAGAATTATGTGGAGAATAACGATGATGTAGAAACTCTCGAATTTCTGCCTTTAGCTTGGCAAGTAGCCTCAGGATTTTTATTAGTAATGATATGGATTTTGAAAATAGGTTGAAAACTTGTAGAAATCAAGTTCTTTTTCTTTTTTGTTCAAATGTTTTGCTGTATAGAATTTTTGTACTAGTCTTGTTATTTTTTTTTAACAAAGTCGTGAGTACTGTGCTTTTGTTCGAGAAATTGCAGCCCTTTTATTTTTAGCTCCTATTCGAGATTTTATTTTTGATGCCTTCAGACTTTTTGTGTAGGAAAAATCTGGTTTTTGTTGCCTCAAATGCCTTAGATTTGTTTTGAGAAAATGGGTTTTTATAAAATGTTATTCTAGCCTAATTTTAGCGATTCTAAAGAGTTTGAGTCGAGAATTCTGAAATCAAAAAAAAAAAAAAAAAAAAAATTGAAAAGTTTTTATAAGTCGTGGACCTTAAGCTAGAAAATCCTTCAATTTGGTGAATTAGTTTACCATGTTAAGAGTTAATTATTTATCCGAGCATCGCTTATTTATATGTAGATTCTGAGGAGTCGAGCCCTCGAGTTTCCACATAAGCGATGACTCTCAGTTT